GTTGCACACTTCAGCCTCCTCCGGACGTATCCTTCGCATGCCGAAGAGAGTTTCAATGCTCCATGGCGCCGAGTCCCGACCGCCTTGGGATGGCCACGAACAGTCCGTCGTCCGCATACAAGCCCATGCATGAGTACCGAATTCTTCGAGTTAGCAATTCCCCTCACCTCTGTGAGCTTTGCACAACTCTTTCGGTCGCTGAGCAACTCATTCCACTTTGCATGGTCTCGACCTTTGCCAAGCGCCTCGCTTGCCTTGAGCACCATCAAGTAAAGTTGTCAACGTTGAGCCGTAGCTCAAACTCAGCCATCCCAACCTTTGTGCGCTCCAAATTCTTCCAAGCTTGCCTGTTCTCGTGGTGCCTCTTGCGCGAAGGGTTGGCCATTCCTCTGAATGCCAATCTCAGATGCCCGCTCCTCTGAGCGACACTTTTTCCTACATCTCCATGCCCGTTTTCCCTAAAACGGTCGCGCGTGTGCTGACTGCCCTCAATGCAGCCCCGCTAGGTCCCCCACGTTTGCATGTCAAGTGTTTCTATGAGTGCTTGTCCCGCTCTGATACCATATGACACGGACTTAGCTGGTTTTGCCTAAGTCGTGCGGCACCCTTGCGCGTCCGTCCGCAAAGGTCAGCCTCCCCGAAGCCTCCCATTGTCCCTTAGGACCAACAAAAGAGGGAACGGGTTAAAGAGAACGCCTCAAACGAGATCCACAAGCAAACATGTCCGAAAAACACTTCATAGACAAAGCAAATTACAAACAGACTTTACAAGCTCTGAACAGTGGCACAACAAAGGGTAAAATGGTCCATTACAGACCGAAAAGCTCTCGCACGTGTCCACATGACACAACCTTTATTTACAAGCCTAAAGAGGCCATCAACCCAACTAAAATGAGACTATTAAGCCTTCGGTCGCCCCTTTACATGTTGTACAGGGTATGAACATGCCAACAGACACGGACAGATATAAGCATTACATCAAACACCTTGTTTAGAAGTTTGTCCGTGACAATGAGGTGTTGAATAAAAATTGCCGTGTCTCAAAATAGTAGTCATTCTGGATTTTGATACATCAGAGAAGGGAAAAGGCTCAACAAGCTTTGTGAGCTGGTCATGAACACTGCTAGAACATGAGAAGCAGGAACGGTATGAGAGAAAGGCAATGGCTGGTCTAACATGTGTTTCTTGGATTGCTTTCTGTCTCATGTTGACTGTAGCAATGTAATGGTTCATTACATTACAAGAACTTCTGGCTTATGATCCAAGAAACATAGCCATTAATTTAAGCTGGGGAAGTAGAAGAGTGGAGACCAAACAAGGAACCTCCCTTCCCCATGCTATGAGGCGACCTAAGTAGAAGGCCCATGGAGATGGAATAGCCCAGCCTTTACAACAACTAGACCACAAGGAACAATGTACCGGTGATAAAGTATCCTTATCTTGTACAAGTATACATATCTATATATAGTCGACCTTGCACTGTTTTGTGTCCATCATTTTCGTCCGATCCATCGCACTGCAGGCGTTCGACCCCCAACACAGCACCTACGTAAACAGCCTCGCATGGAAACAAGGCAGAGATCGACCCTCCCACAGCGCGTCTACGAGGACTTCGTTCCTCAGCATGAACTGCTTCGGGAGAAAGACGAGGACATCCTCGTCGTTAATGTCGCAGGCACCTTCTTCTGCTATAGATTTCGGTCGTTAAACACATCAAATTCATCCATTTTTCTTGAGAATAAGAAGCTGTTTTGTTGTTCTTTCTTTCTCCACATAGGTTTCAGCAAGGACCAGCTCAAGGTCAAGTTCAACAGACATGGGAAACTAGAAATGACCGGAGAGCGCCCCTTGACCGACACCAAGTGGAGCCGCTTCCACAAGGAATTCCAAGTGCCCGACCGCAGCACCCTCGACCGCATCCGTGCCAAGTTCTACAACGGACTTCTCGAAATCACGCTGCCAAAGTCGTCCGGCATGGCCGCCGTGCAAGATGAGCCGGCGGAGGCCGTGAAGCAACAGGATGTGAAGAAGAACCAAGAATCTGATGCACAGAAGGTGGCGGAAGATAAGAAGGATCAGCTCAAAGAGCCGAAAGGCACGGAGAAGGTGGCAGGCAAGGATGGAGATGAAGATGGTGAGGAAGGCACCGAAAGGATCGATGCAGGGAAGAAAGCAGCAATCACACCAGCAAGCTATTGTGGTGGCAAACGAAAGCTAGTGAACCTTAAGCTTAAAATAGGCAAGCTGAACTCGGGAACGTACCAAGCAAGGCAGGTCATACAAGCCTTGGTTCTGACTATGGTGGTTTCGGTGGGACTGGGATTGTATCTGCACTGCAAACCGAGTCCCAAAGATAGCTGAGCGTTGTGTCTCCTCCTCATATCGAATGAATGCATCATGAGTTGTAATTTGTAATAACACTTGCTAAGAAGACGAAGATAAAAGTTGCAGTTGTTGCTTAAAATTGTATGTGACAATGTGTTTTTTGCCTTTATTGATATAAACCTGTGAACTGGTGATAAATTTTGTCACAGTAGCCTTTATCATTCGACAAACCTTTTTTTGATTGGACTGGTGATCTTTGGTAGAAGAACACCTCGTCTGAGATTGCTATTCTTCGCATGCATGTATGCATTAGAATTAGAGCCACTACTCCTCTCGGTCGAAGAACATAGTTCTACTTCATGACAAGGGGGCCACGCCACCATCGTCTGCAACAGATGGTTTTCACAGTGTCTGCAATCAAGTTTTTCTTTTTTGGCTTCAATCATTTATATCCGTCTCTCAGTTTCATTTGATCATGCAAATTATTTTTTCGTAGTTATCAATGCTGAATATTTAGAGGGAGTGTTTTACGTATTTATTTTTGTAAAATTTTGAAACGATGCATATACCCTTGCAAATATTAACATCCCTACATACATTAAGATCTTCCAAATATATTGATATCGATAAAAAAAAACAACAATTAACACTTTTACAACATAAGCATTTTTAGAGGATATTAATGTGCCAAATGTTGATCAATTTATGAAGATTAATTATGAAGTCATGTAAACATGTTTTTAGGTTCACAAGAGTACACATACTGGACTTCAAAAATTAACAAGAGATATATGAAAATAATTATCTTAATTTAAATCTTACAATTTCATTAATTTAAATCTTCATCAAGATTCGGACAAATTTTATTAATTTAATTTTGCTAACCTTAATACATGTCACACCCGCCGCGGGTCGGTTACTGTGATTGGACCAACATAGTGGGCCCATCAAGAGGGCCCGCGGGTGTGGGTGTACTGATATGCCGGAGACTGCCACCACAAACCCCCATTGGCTTCGACGTTTCCGCAGACCTGCTTTCGAGAAGTCATAGGTTCTTGATGTCTCCGGAGTCGTCTTCCTCGTCGTCGAAGAAGAAACGGAGGAATCTGGAGATGAGGGTTGTAGAGAATGCTAAACGAAGACGCGTCACCTTCGCCAAGAGGCGCCAAGGCCTCTTCTCCAAGGCGGAGGAGCTCGGCGCCGTCTGCAGCGCCGACGTCGCCGTCGTCGCCTTTACCTCCTGCGGTAAGGCCTTCTCCTTTGGCGATGACGCCATCCGTCGCTACCTCCGCCTGGCGCGAGAACACGATGGCAATCAAGATGGCAGGGAGGAGTGTGGCTCGGTGAAGGCGACGGGGATGGAAGATCCCGTCCGAAGACTGAGATTTCTTGAGGAGCTCCGGCGTAAAGCAATTGCTCGCGCCGAGGATCTGGCGCAAGCGCGGGCTGAGGCTACCGCGGCCAGCAGCAGCAATGGGGG